GGTTGGTGGGTGTTGGGGGGTTGTATGGGGGTATTTGGGGTTGGTGTGGGGGTGTTCGTGGGGTTATTAGGGGTTCTGGACCCAAATTTTTTATTTTTTATTTTATTTTATTTTTTTCGCGGGGTGCCGACGACCCCCGACCAGTCAAGGGTTGCCGATGGTCGGGGGTGTGCAACACTGCTTTTGAGTTTGAACTTTTGCCTGACTTCCCTTCCAATCCTCCTGCTCGTACTCTTCTTTTGTTTTTGTTTTTTGTTTTTGTTTTTTTTCCCTCCTGCTCCTACTCTAATCCCTCCTTAAAGCTGTTTCTGCACATCGCACTGAAAATAATCCTCTGTGGCTCCATACTCTCCAAAAGCTTTCTCAAAGAAAGAGGGTGTTTCTTATTGTTTTAACTTGTTTTACCCATTTGACTCACCTGGGACAGGATGAGATCTCCCCGCTTTCTTCCAAGGGTGTCGATGCACAATGCTCCTATAGCCTCTCCATCGATACTGATTCCCAAGGCAAAGAATGAGCCTTCAAGGGGATCGGGCAATTGCCTGCCAAATTCCAAAGCCCAGTACTTAATCCGTCCCTCGTTCACCAACTCCGGAACATGGACAGAGTAGTTGTCCAAGACGGTTCCATTTTCTTCCATGGAAGGTTGGTCGTCGTAATTGTCCCCCCGTGGCACCAAGGACAAATAGGTAACTCCCTCTCCTGGGAGAAGGTATTGTCCGACGATGAAAGTATTGGAAGAATCAGCAGCAACATACTGCAACCATGTGGCGCGCTGTTCATTTTGTTCGGTGGCCTGAAACCCTTGTGTCATCTGGGCAACCACATCTGCAGCACCCCCTGCATCTCCCGGATTCGCGGCAGCAGCTGCAGCAGCAGCCAGCACCGCCTTGTGTTGCGCCTCGCTAAGGGAAGGTCGTACTAAGAAACCAGGCGAAGGCTCCGGTTGGACTTCATCTCCCTCCGTTCCATCCCCAGGTTGAGTCCCTCTCTCTAGAGTATCCTCAGGTGGAGCCACCAGCATTGCCACGTATGCTGCCACGTGCAACTTGGTTCTGAGAGTTTCACAAATCTTCTGCGACGCATCCATTATATCCGATTTTGTTGCCGTCTCAAATGGTGACTTCTCCGTTGGGTCATGTTCATGGATCTCATGAGAAACCACAGCCATGGCCGGTACCGACTTCCCAGCAGCCCATTCCTGATAAGATGTGTCCTTCAGCTTTTCCTTCCTTCTTAGCCTTTCTGCTTCCGCTTCTGCGTCCTTCAGCTTTTTCCTCACTTCCTCGAACTCTCGTTCATACTCTCCTGTACGCTTCTGAATCCTGGCGACCTGAGTACGCCACGCTGCATTCTCTCGTTGACGTAGTGCCTTTTCCATCTGCAATGCAGCAGCTGCTTGCCTCGTGCTTTCATCTCGGGCTTGCTTTACTTGTTCCAGTTGTTCTAGAGCTTCATTGCGCTCTTTGGCAAGCACGTCACTCTCCTCCTGAAGTTTCATCACTGTCGCGGCTGCCTTCATTTTCTCCAAAAGTATAACCAACTTTGTATTGTCTTGCGGTCCCTGGCCTCCTTCACCAGCTGCTACACTCCCCAGCCCACGCTGAACCTCATCGACCTGCTCACTGAAATCCTCATCATACCTATTTCCCCATCCCAAAATAAAATTACGCCACCCATGCATGGTCCCGACCAGAATGATCATGTCCCACCTCTCCTCCCAACCCCCACACCACCCCCAACCCAGTACACAGAGCGCAGACAGACACATGTAGTAAGCATGCATTCTACCTGCTCTACCTTGGCCCAAGCAGTGGATTTGCAATGTTTCACTTCTGAAAAGATGAATCCAACGTCCACGAGGTCCATCACAGGAGGAGGGGACCAGCTGCCACCGAGGACGAAGTCAGAGAAACCCTGTTTGTAATTCGTGTGCACAAGTAAACCTATAAAGTGAAGCGAATGCGAGGAAGAGCCCTGATTCCGTCTCATCCAACAGAGTCGTGATCCATCACTATTAGTCAATAGTAGTCCATATGCACCACCCAACAGTATAGATATATACCATACAGTGCATACAACGTAATGCAAGGAACCAGCATGTGAGAACACAAAAATTTCAAGCAGCAAGAACACATTCAAGATAATACCTGAGTTGACCAAACTGAAATCAGAACCGACAAGGCCGAGAGCACACCAGTGTGCGAACACACTGAACACTGAGGTCTCTTGATAATGAAAGCCCTCCTCATGCCACCCCTCAATCAATACAAGAACAGAGTAGTATCCCTACGCTCTGGTATGGTGACCTGCACGACTTCCCTAGCCCAGTCTATCATCACTAACCTAGTAGCTCTCTCTCTCTCTCTCTCTCTCTCTCTCTCTCTCTCTCTCTCTCTCTCTT